GCAGAAAGAAACAGTGAATTTTTATTCAGTGATTGTGCATTAACTGAATTCAGTGCTCTGTTCATAAAATAGATTAGCATTATACTATGATGCTTCTGTCTGCAACGAGCTGTGAAAACAAATAATATCTGATGGTGAAGAAAGATGGGAGAAGATTTGCAAACAGTTGCTTTACAGAAAATTATACATGACAAGAAAATTAAGTCATTACTGAGAGGCTGACTTCTGAAATAGAATCATAGCAGAAACAGAAAATCAATCAGTTTTCCATTATGAAGGCTATTCAAAGATGTGAGGATACAGGAAACTTCTTTTTTATAAGGGAGGGAGAAGGTGAGGTAACCCAACAAGAATGCAGTTCAAACTTGCAGGGAATAGCAGTCGGTTGCACCACCTTTGGAGAGTAATTGTAGTGAGACAAGAAGTAGCTGAGAATGTAGATTCATTTGAAAGTAAATGAAAGTGTCTTGTGTTGTTGAAGTATTTTTCCAGTCTTTCAATATGAAACACTGAAAAGTCAAAACCTTATAGAAATACTTATCAGTCAAGCATTAATAGGGATTTTGATACATATGACTGTATGGAATTTGGAAGATTCAGATAATAGACATTCTAGGCTATGAAGCAAACTCCCCTGCAGTTATTTTAGACATGAAAAGATAGAATGGTCAAAAGAGAATTTGAAATTCTAAGCTAAGAAATACCAATGAAAATAGGTGATTTTGTCTTCTAAGTCTGTGTTGTTGTCCCAGTAATAGAGGTTTTTTATATACATATACAGCGTGCCATTGGAAAATTCTGACAAATTCTCAAGAATGTGTGCAAATAAGATTTATGCTCTCAGGGGAATAGTTGTTCTTTGAGTTCTGCCGGGTTGCCATTGCTGTCTTACTGAGGAGAAGAAGTTGTAAAGATCACATTCCATTCCTGAGGTTTCCTATAGGAAGATGGTTGTGTAAGGGAATTTCTTTATCACAGACTTAGAACTCTGTACTGAAAGTAGACTATGAAGTCTATGATGAATTTTTGGATCATGAATTGTCCATCAGAAAGAAAAGTAGGTTGAGTGATGACTCGAGTCTTAACACTTCCTAGCTTTGCATTTTCTTTTCACCAGAGTATTTATCATTGCTAGAGAAGCTCTCTTTCCTGGAAACATTGAGAGCATAATGAGTAAGGAAGACATAATAATACAATGTAATGCCTGGTCGTATAGGTCAGACATAATACTGCACTGCCACATTGAAACTGCCTTGAACGGAGCTAAAAACTCCAGTGCTTTTTCAGTAATAGCACAAGCCAAACCTGTAACTATGAGAAGTTGCCCGAGCAAGTTTAAGGCCTATTTAATAGCAAAAGAAAACCAAGCATCTCAGAACTAAAAAGAAAAAAAAATGGTTCTGGTTTATAGTGTAAGGCGAGGGTTTTCAGCAATTCCAGAACATTGGTCTTATCCTTTTCTTATCCCTGTTGTGTGTTTCTTCTGGGGGACACACTGAGGAGCAGGTTTGGTTATAGATTCAGTTTATATAGTTCAGTTTTTCTGTTGATTACAGTTCACGTTCATGTATTTTGTTGAATACAAGTTACTGAAAAAAACCCCACGGTGCCCTGCACTACGTCCGGGTCAGGGGCCTCGATCCCCCGAGTGCCTCTGGTCCCATCGCTCGTGTGGCCTCCCCAACCCCGCGCTCTGTGGAACGGTGCTGCCCGGGGATCGTGTCCCGGCACCAGGACACCTCCGGGGCCTGGAGCTCTGGGGCCGTGGACTCTGCCACCTGGGGTATCCCTCCTCCATCATCATCATCCTTCTCCCAGCTCTGGAGGAATTTCAGGATCTTGGGGGAAGGGTTTGGATCTAGTTTTGCAGAGGGGCTGAGAGGAGCCCTGGGATGCTCAAGACCAATGGGAGTTTTAAGAACAGATTTACAGAGCAAACTCAGTTGTTATTTTTTCCCCTCCTTCCACAGTGTCTCTTAAATCTTCTTGAGAAAGTTTTAAAATGAAACATGCCATGCTAAAAAACAATCCCAAGTGAGAGCAGAGTCTGTCTCAGTTTAGAAGACTGGAAATATTCAGAGGTCACAGGACCAAGCCTGCCAGAGTTCAACACATGTTTCAACAATACTCTCAGGCACGTGGTATGACTCTTGGGATGTCCTGTGCAGGGCCTGGAGTTCGACTCGATGATCCTTGTGGGTCCCTTCCAACTGAGCATATTCGATGATTCTGTGTATATTGTACAGAGCTAATAAATGACAATGATGAAATTTCTGCCACTTCACTGAATATTTTGGAAATGGTATTCAGGGTTTAAAAGAATGACAGGCTTTTGACTTAGATATGGGAAATATTATTTTCATGGACTTCACATATTATGTGCCAACTCTCTTGAATGTCTTTGTGCTGGGTTTCTCAACAAAGTAGTCAGTAGAACATACCTGCTCTTGAGCTAAGATTACAATTAAATATCAGAACGATTGGAAAGCTTCAAATTTTAAGCATAATAGCTGTTGAAAAATATTTAGGTTTTATCTTTGAGTGCCAGTTTTCTTGACTCAGAACAATTCTAAAGGCATGAATCAAATAGTCTGGTTTTTGCTCCAGTGGACAGTTTCCCAAAGTGCTTGACTATAGCAGAGTTGACTGGTGGTACTTGCCATTGAAATGGTGAGTGGTGCTTGCTTTTTTATGAAGAGTGGTGGTATTTTAACACTATACGTGAATGGACAAAGCGTATTCATTGCTGCTGGGTTTGTTCCAAGTTGGAAATTTATGCCCTTGCCACTTAGATGGCTTTCCTATGTCATGGAAGCAGCTGAGTTACAAGATTGCTTTGGAGAAAATGATGAGAATATCCATTTTAACCTGTGTGTTTCTTCTTAAGTTACACATGCAAATTTCAATTAAGTAGTACCTAGCTTAATCTATAAAGCAATCCAACTTACCCTAATACCTAATACACATTATAATTACTTTTTATGCTTTTCCCCTCATGAGTAATCACAATCAATTTAATGAAAATGTGTTTTGCTGGAGTTTGCACTGGGGAATTGCTTTGCCTACAGACATCCAAGTTGCCATGACATTGTTTCAAAGATTTGTTTGATTTTTTTTTTTCTAATTCTTGTAGAACAACTGTAGTTTGCAATTACATTAAATGACAAGCAGATAACTATACAAAAACCCAATAGGTTCCAGAAGTGAGGATTTGTTTTAATTTGTTAAAACCCTGGAAGGAAAGGAATGGGGTTGCTCCTTCACAGGACCAGTATATCACTGTTTCTGACAATTTGAGACTTCCACAACACCGCTATGCTTCATACAGATTACAGCTCCATAATCCAGGGTGTGTTTGGTTGGGTTCATTGACCTGTCTTGCACATATCATTCATGCTTTGCTCTCTTGTAACACAACAGGCATGTTATGTGATTTAATCTGCCCCTCTTTGTAACCTGTATTCTGTTCACCTCTTTTCCAGTGCAATGGAACAAAAAGTGTCCTTGTAAACTGATAAATAAACACTGTTATGCTCTGGTGATCCACTCAGCACATATTGTTGGATGTAGAATTTGCAAACTGATCCAAAAGGGATGAGGGTCAAAATATGTGATTTTTCTGTTTATTACTTGCATCTGTCACTGAGCATCTCTTTAGTTTTTACATTTAAGATGGAATATGAGTGGTTTAAAAGTGTACCTTGTCTAGACAGGGATTGCCTACTAATTTCTAGAGCAAGCATTGGTTTCTGATATTATTGGGAAGGTCTGGATTCTTCAGTCTCTCTGCTCTACTCTCTAGAGGAATCTTGTGCAATCCTGTAAGTCTGCCTCTTGAATAGCAGAAATGCATTACAGACTTTGTACCTGTTAAACAACCTTTTTTCACTTTTTCTTTTCTTTTATATTGTCCCACTATAAACTCTGCTCTCCTGGATTATTTAGGACAATATGCTACTTCTCTACCTATTTGTTTCATGTTAACATGCTTCAGAGCCCTCTGGCTGAGGACATGGTTCTCCTGGCAGCAGCTTTTCCTTTTTAGTTCAGTCCCATCTTTGCAATGTGATTAAGGCTGGCTTATGTTCCCTGCTGTGCTATTTGTGCTACTAGTTTGAAGTTACGAATTCTCTTTGAAACAGATTCAGTGTTTTCAGGCAACTTGTGTGAATTAATTGTTTCCAGCTTGAATGGTTGAAGGAAGCCAGTATGAGTCCAAAACTGACAAAATATACACTCTCTCACCCATGAAGCTAAGGTAAATAATAATCCAGTGCTATATTTTGTAAATCAAGGGTAGGCAAAAAGAAAGGTGGAAGTATTTAATACTTCCATATTTCATACGAAAATATGCTGAAGGCATTACTAGACTTTTGTCTAGAGAAGGTCATAGAATGGATTTCTTCCTCCCCTCCCTTTCCCCTCCACAAAGAAAGAAATGGATCTGTTTTTGTTTAAAGAAAACAGGTTTGTATAGTCTTTCTTAAGTACAGCATAAACAGAAATTATTGTTCTTTTTGAGATTAATAAAAAATTTATCTTTGCTTTATGTTTTTCTCTCAAAAGCTGAACCCATCCATTTATTTAAGTATGCCTCAGAGAACTTAGTTTTGTAAGTGTCAAAACCAGTTTGACAGGCCAAGCAATTAAAGGTTTTGTAAAAACTTTTAGAGTTCAATTGATTGCTACCTAGGGCAATTTGATTAGTCCATAGCCTTTATAATCAGTGTTGTAGCCAGGCTAGAAATGCTTATTTGGTAAGTATGCTGTGGCAGTATGATTATTCCCACTGGCAACCTACCTAGCATTAAATTTATTTTTTTTTCTTAGACATTTATTATAAGAATGGCACTGAAATATCTTTTTTTTTGTTTTGCCACCTCAGAATGAAAGATTTTTCTTATGTGATCAAATTGTATGAAACCCAAAGGAGAGAATAAGCCAGGTTATTGTAGTAATTTATCTCTTCCTCTTGTTTCTGTTTTGCTTTGTTTTGGAAGGACTAACCAGCCGGGAATGTTCACAAAGAAGGAATTCGATCAGTTGGCCTCAGCAGTAGACAGCTTCAGTCTCATGACATATGACTATTCAGCACCACATCGGTAAGGCTCCATCTAACATTTGAAAGATTGTTGAAGGAACTGTTAAGTCATTATTAAATCTACAGTATGAGTTAATTTTTTCTAGTAGAGTGGACAGTGTGTTCTGACTGTACCACATACTGAAGTTCTAGATTAGTAGTTGGGGTAGGTGGCTTGTGAACAAGCCCATAACTCAGTACATTTTTAACAGCAATGTATTTTTGGGGTTTGGATATTATGGAGACTTTGTACTCGAGCTAAAAACTTATCTTTTTAAAAGGATAACCTGACACTTATTCTTTTCCAAGCCAGGTTCTTTTGTTTTGAGTTATTTAGCACAGTTCTGCAGGATAGGTACACGAATAATCTACAACATATCATTGTTGAATAAATTAGCTTTAAAGCACAATTTATAGTTCATCTGCCTTTAGACATGAACATGATTTCCAGCAACATTCCTTTACTGTATTGGCATATTGGGTTTTAATGGCACAGATATTATGAAGGCTTTGAGGCAGATAATTAGTAGGGAGTAATGTTGATATTTGTAAGACTATACTTCTCCTTTTATCATGTTAGTGAGTGCCTTTTATCATGTTAGCGAGTGTTTGAGGGAAAACCTGGTCTCCTCTCCAAAGAGATAGAAATTAAATGAGTGCAATATTCTGTTATATATATAACAATTCAATTACTCTGTGTATTAAGGCTATACTCTTTTTCTTAATGTAACTTTTTGTTAAGTTATTGCCTTTTTAGGTTTTTTTCCATAAGTAAATGTTAAACTATCATTGAAACCTGTCTTGCTTACCAGTCATAATTATATGGTTCTTTCTGTAAGTAAATAGTGGATTTTGTCCCAGTATGTTTTGCCAGTTGGCCGTAAAAACATTGAGGATGAGGATGGTATTGGAAAACAACTGAAGTCATGCAGAGTTTTGAATTATAGTGTAGGCATTGTGCAAGGCCCTGTGACAGAGAAAATGTGCTGGGGGGAAACCTCTTCTTACCCACTGTAAGGAGTTTTATGCCCTTGAACCTTGGAACTGAATGACAAAGTCAAGAGTGGGGCAAGCATGTTTTGTGCCTCAGCACTTCAAGCCACTGAAGAATGTACATTTAACCTTCATAGGATTGTAGGCTCATCTTCACTGATTTTTGTGTACCATAATTTGCTTTTTTTACAATTGCACAAGTCAAAAGAGAAGGCTGAGAGTGAACATGTACTTCTTCTGACAACCTGTTTGATTTTTGCTAACTTGACAGACCTGGTCCAAATTCCCCCCTTCCCTGGGTACGAACCTGTGTTCAAGTACTGGATCCTGATTCAAAATGGAGGAATAAAATACTTCTAGGGCTGAATTTCTATGGCATGGACTATTCTGCTTTGGGACCCTCTGGGGAGCCAATCCTTGGTAACAGGTATGACTTCTCTGGATAGTAAGTACTTATGTATAATATATTTTCTCACCAAACTTAGAAATTCACAAGTATTCTTGTTTAGAAATATGGCTTTGTTAGCAAAATAGAAATGGCAAAAGTGACAAATCTGCACCTGAAATAGTAGCTCACTGATTAAAGTAAGACCTGTAATTTCTCTTCACTGTACAGAAATGCAGATAGATCGCACAGTCATCCTGTCAGAACTCCTGTGGAAAAATGATTCGTGTAGTTTTCCCTCTTTCCTCTATCCATGTTTGTACATGCAGGTTGCCATCTTTGTGTTAAAATGTTCTGCAGTATTTTCTTATGCTCTCTATCATTTTGGGGATTCATGCAGTTCTCCTAAGGATTTTTTCTCTCAGTTCCCGAAGTTGTTACCTTTTACTTTGAAATTTGATACTGATTTCAGACAGCAATGTGCCATCAAGTTTCTTTTCAGTAGAAAAAGCTGCAAGAAGCTCACTTGGAGAAAAAAAATCTATAACAAGATAAACGGAAATATTCCAAAGCTAGCTTAAAATTTTATATTGATTCTCAGAGGAGAATGGTTTTAGTTTTGGGTAATAACAGCGAACTTTGTAAAAATACAGTCAGGATATAGTACATCAAGGCAGAAGAAAAATGAATTTGGCGGGAAAATCAGGTTTGTTCAGAAATTTGTTACTATATTTTGAAATAGAACCAAGCCAAGTGGTAACAAACCTAAAGCACACAAGGTGACTGTTCTCACGTTCAGAGGTTACTAAGTTCATTACCGCACAATATTTAAATATAATAACAGACTGTTTTATAGACATTGAAATACTATCTGAGGTGGATTGTGTAAGGCAGGGTTCTGAATTTTTGCATCCATGTCTTCAGTTACACAAACACACACTCATCATTGTGCTTGCCTCTGCTTTCTTCCTTCTTCTCCTTGGCTCTTTGCAGGGATATAATACTCTAGACACAGATTTCTGCCAGTACTGAATTGTGTTTGAATCTGACTGAATAACAGAAAAGGGGAAAATAAAGCCATTGTCTGTAGCAAAAGGTATATAGAGAGTATTTCAGAATGATTTCTGTAAAGTTAGTTGTAGTGATTAGGCAGGAGAAATACTCAATAGTGAAAGCATTGTTGATTTACAGACCTAATTATACAAGCTCAGCAAAATTATTTAGCTTCACTGTAATATTTAGTTCCTTTTGCAAGTAGGAGTATAGCACTATCTAGCAGAGTAAAAGGTTCTTGCTTTTTTTTCTGAACTGCAACTTGTGAAATGAAGTTTCTACTTGAAAAAAACACTGAGCACTAGGATGGCATCTACTTTTATTTTTCATAGATTCTCCTTTCATAGTATTAATTTCATATAGCATTAATTCATGTTGCTTTTTAATTAATGGCAAAAATAGCCTAACTAAGATTCACGTATGATTACTCTAACTTTCAGTAAAAGAGGCTATATTCACCTGTAAGTAGGACAGTGGTACACAGTGTGGTACAATATGTTTTATACAGAGAATGGTCCTGTGAACATATTCTTCATTGACAGATCATATGACTGTAGTTTTTCAGATATCTACCAGGAGCAAGGTTCTGGACAAAATCTTTAAGAGACTTTGAGTTTGTACATAAAACACACTCATTTTCAATTTGCTGCCTTACCCACCAGTCAGTGGTTATTTTTCCAGAAATATATTTTTGAGCATACACAGTTATGGATTAGTCTTTGCTGTATATGTCATGTGTAATAATGTAATAGTAAAATAGATTCAAGGTAAAACAGCTTCAAAATAGGCCAAGCTTCTGACATAGAGAAAATGGGGGGGGAAAGGTTTTTTATGTAAAATGAGCTTTCTGCCACTTAATTGGTATCAGGTGGTTTGTAAGGAAGTCCTTTGGCCTGCCAGAAGTTTTGAAGATTGATTCATGACTCCTTTAAGACACCCTCCCTATATTGTAGCGATAGCGACGTTAAGCTAAAGTGCTGGTATTAAAATTAATTCAAAATGTGTTCAGTTAAATGCAGTGTGGTGAGTATCAACTTTGTTGTAGATTTCTGCTTAAGTTTTTGCATCTGAAATGTATTGCTTGTACAAGTACCCAACAAGTCAGTGCTCCTTGACACACTGTAAGGTGCACACTGTTTTGTTGAAGCATATGCACGGGAGTCTGATCCTCTTTAAGAACAAGGATGGAAAACTGCAAGATTCAGTGGCAAACTGTATATTCTCAAGTTGTTTTATGTCAATGTATTAGGCACTTAAATTGATTATTAGTAAAGCATATACATAGGATTGCACGCAGAATGCAGAAACCTTTGCTGGTCTCGTGTTTTTGTTTTTATTTAGGATAGGAATTAGGTGATGGAAAGAGGCTCTGAACATAGGTAGATTTCATTCACTGCATATTTTTTCAGTCCAGAAATTCATAAAATAACTTACAGTAGAATCCCTGTTTGCATAAAATATTATTTGGCAGTGTTTTTTATTGCAGAATGTAATCTAAAGGTAGAAGTACTTGAAAAGATATACAACCTTTCTGTGTAACATCCTGTTTCCTTTATACACATCATAAGAAGTAATAGGTGTATACCTATATGCTTGCATGTATATATATCTGTGTCTCAGGATTAAATGAAATGAAAACAATTTTTCTCTTACAGCACAAGATAGTTTGTCCTTGGTTGTTACAGTAGGAACTGCAGTTTCTATAACTGCAGTAACAATGTGTTTGTCTTGCAGCTCAGTGACAACTATGACTTGTTGATACAATGAGTCAGTCTCAGAGATTACAGCACATTCTGGTGCTGTAATTAACCAAGTGCCATTTTGGATTATGTGGAGGGAAGCTACATTCAAGTATATTTCATTGGGACATAATTTGTATGAAACCCTAAACTGGAAATAAAGGTTTTGTGTCTGTGATTCCCAAATCATCTCTAGTGCTTCTGGCACTGTTTTCTGCCCCCTGGCTCTCAAGAATCAGGTGTCTGAATTGCTAAAATGCAGTCATTATAACTTTCCACTGTATTGAAATCTGAACATAACCATCTGGTGCTGCTGACTTGCTGTTCTAATGATCAGCTGGTTCCAGCATGTCCTCTATTGATATGCAACCTGACAGTATTTTCCTGTTCACCTCAAAAGTGTATGTCTTGGGTGAATAATTCTTCAGTATACCCTGAAGCTTAAGAAATTGTTTAGGCTTTCTGAGGAATCTTTGCCTTTGAGTCCTTTTTAGAGACCTGTAGTAGGTCAGCAAGCCACTCAATCTCACGAGCTCTTACTTCCAGTGTACATTTTTCGCCTTTAGCTATCTGCTCTACAGAATCTCTCTTAATCATTGAGACATTATATATCAGTTGCAGTTTTGTTTTATATTCTCACGGGAGAATTAGACAACAGTGGGGGATTAGACAACAGTGTAGTGGTGTTTTTCATTCCACACCATCTAAAATCTATACCCGTTATGACCTGGACCAAAGGGGAACTGACAGACTTCATTGCCAGCTGTGAATTAAAAGAAATGTAAATCAAAAGCTGTCATATGGTGTTGCTTACCTTTAATAAATCAACCTTCTTTATTGAGCATATCACTGTAAGTTTAATGTATTATTATTATTTAATGTATTATTTAAGTAAAGTATTATTTAATGTATTATTTTGTCACTTTTTTTTTTTGTATAGTGTTGAAAGAGGGAAGATACATCTCTAATGTTTCACCTGACTGTATATAACTTTTGAGTATATTCTGCATTCAATCTGCTTTTGTTCCAGCCTTAGCTATTGAAAATAGTTATGTGAATAATTCCATTATTTTGAAACAGTGCTGTGTATGCTTACATTTTATTTAAAGTAATCTGAATAGGGATTTTTATATTAATTTTAAACATTTAAGAAGATTGATATAATAAATTGCCAGATGAAGCAAGGGAGAAACTAATTTGACAATGCATTGTGCTATTCAGAGATAGAAAATAAGATGACTTGCAAGCAATATGAGGATATAGAGTTCTACCGAGAATTTTATTGGCTGCCTGCCATTTTGTAAATAGCAGGTAGTAAAAAGTGGTACTTAGAAACAGTTAGAGGTGAACTTTTTCTCTGAATTATCATGGCAGTGTCTTTATTAGCAGCAATTTAAGAATATTTGGGCCAACTGTGACTCATGATTTTGTCTTACAGAAGGTAGCAAAAAAGCTACTGCCAGGAACACTTTTACTCTTCAAGCTGCAAGGGTTTTGCAACATTTCTCTTCATGCTGTAATTCTCCCAGGATTTCCATTACTTCCCTGTATGCCAGGATTCTGTCTCCTGATTTAATCTGTTTTTCTCATTGGTTATATAATGTTGGGGAGATACTAGTATTTCAAATAAACTGATCCACCAATTAGCTCTGTAGGACTGAATGCCTTGACCTGTTGACCAGCTCTCCTTTTCATTGGAGAAACTGTTAAGCTCTTTCTTCTTAAATTGTACTGCTGGGTCAGATGGTAAAATCATGGCAGTGATGGGAGGAAGTTACAATTGGGCCTGAAATCAGAAGTTATTTCTATATTACAAATGTCTAAATATTTCAGGAGTGTTTCAAAAGGTTTATTCTATTAAATTCCCTCTGGGGTATTCTGTTCTGTGTGGCTTCCATGGTATATCTGTCCCTCCATCCCTTTAGGAATGGAAGGTGAGTGTGAGCTGAAAGTGTCAGACTTGTTGATTCATGTAAGTTGGATAGAACATCTTATGAAGTAAATTTATGGTCATTTTTCAGCTTATCCAAGTTGTAAATATGATGATAAATACAAAAGCTATATTAGTTGTTTTTAATGTAAAACGTATTCCTTATTTCTTTTGAAATGAGGAAAAGGTGGCTTTTGCTTATTAAGCAAATGATTGGTTCTGAAGTTCAGTTGTACAATGACATATCGGCTATGAGGGTGTGTGTATATCTCAGTGCATCTGCTTTAAAAATGTGCTCTTCTCTGTGTCTCAGGATCTTT